TTTGATCATCAAGAAGTACACAGATTTTGAATGTCTTGCAGAAGGAGCTTTTTCAAGCAAAAAATCTAAAAATTTAATATTGGAATCATAAGATAAAACTGTTTTTGTGAAGAAACTGAAAATTTTTCTAGGGTTTTTAAAATCTCACTCGATTCGCTTAGCATGACAAAACACAAATTCAAAAATGGATGTTAATATTTTGCTCCGTAATATAAAAATTAATAAAATAACGAAAAGCGCAGTAATTAATGATCTAAATCTTGAATATCAAAATGTGCTAATTGAATTCAAACGATATATCAAATTAGCACTACATGCTTCTACATTTAGAGTTAGTTATATATTATACTAAAAATTTTCTGGAAATACTTCTTACGGCTAAACAACGCTTGCCGGACCAGCTAGTATATATATATATATATAGCTATGTTTATTTGCGAGTAACAATACCCGGAATTGCTGTATGAATAAAATGTAATAATCATATATATATATATATATATATATATATATATATATATATATATATATATATATATATATTAAACTGGCTAAACCGATTTGGCCAGTCTTAGTCTTGAAAAATTCGTGCCAATCCAGAGATGGTCGGAAAGATGAGATATTATTTCAAAATCGTGTAGATACTTTACATTTTTAATTTGAAAATTTTTGTAGAAGCGTAATTCGAATAAAACAATGAACGGTGGCTAATACGTGAAATGTCAAATGTTTTTGACAGATGATGTTCAATTACGTTTAATAGGATGTTTTACGTAAATATTATTTAATTATGATTAAATTGTAGTAAGTAGTTTTGTTTGTAGTTTTATTTATATACAAAAACATTAGTAAACGGGCCGCAAGTGTTACTAGAGACTCAAAATATCAACTTTTTTGAAATGTTAATATGAAAATGCACTTTTTCGCATATTTTCCTCAAACACGGTGCTCTGAAAGATCTCATTTGTATAATTATATACTCATTGGTATTTATAAAACATTTTCTAGGTTATGTTATTTTTTATTCATATTATTTAAATTCAGAACCAAAATTTGGTATTGATCAAATGGACATTTTGTCGAATAACATTTTCCCAGTTGTAATTTCCCAGAATTTATCGAAGAATAGATAGAAATATATGAAAGTCCGGGGTTAAAAAAGTCCAACACCAATGTGTCAAAAACAACTAAAGTTAAGCATTGTTGAGGGAAAAAGATGCATAACCAGCTAAACCTTGATTTGAAAACGGTAATCTTTGAAATGAGGGAGGTAAACGGTTCTCTTTGAAAATCCATAATAAAAGTATTTTCTTCCGATGGTAGTTTTTTAGCATTAGTTAAAAATGTAATTATTATGTAAAATATTTTTTTTATTTATTTATTTATATATATATTATTTTCATATCTCAGTCCTTTAAAATTATAATAAGGCCTTAAACCTTTTTGCCACCTGCCCGTTTCAAGTTACCCCGCCTAAAGGGTAAAAAGGTCTAAATAACAAATTTTTGAAAGACATCAAAAAAGCACATTTCTACAATGATGAAGTAGAAGGCAGTTTACTGAACGTAGTCAGATAATTGTTCGTTTGATATGTGTTATTTGTTGTGATATAATTGTTATGGTTTTCACAATATGGTTTATATTTGCTCAAACTCAAATTGGACCTTTGTGCCTTGCCCTGCTCTACGTATATACTTCTTATTAAATTTACTTTAATTCAAGGTATGTTACTTGAAACTTTTCAAAAAGCAGGTCAAAGCAGATATATCTAATTCATTTTCTATCTCTCTTCGCAGAAATTTGAAAAATTTGTATAAGCTCAGTAATATTATTTACAATTATACACAAAATCCAGAATCCAAAAGAATCTGAAGAGCTTAAAACGTAATCAATAAGTCGAAAGACCGAAAAAGACTTGGATTGGATTTATTCTATGTTTTCTATAGAAAGTGTATAAAGCTTCCAGTTTGATTGTATTGACAAAATATAGACAAACTAATGGGGTTTATTGTTTTTATAATACCTCGTTGTATATAGCATTCAAACAACTTATCCTTATACACTTAAAGTATTAATATTTTTGTTTCTCTAGAAATTGTTTAGAATATACCTTAGTTAGCAAAAAACGTTTGCCGGGTCAGCTAGTATATATATATATATATATATATATATATATATATAAACAGTTAAACCCTATTTAAATATCTATTACGCAATCAATCACAAAAGCGATACTTCGTAAAAACCTCATAATTCAGTGTCTTACAGGAGTATATCCATTGAAGATCCTTCGATATGCTATCGATATACATACATATGCATGTTTATATCGATATAATAAGAAATAGAAATATAAAAAACATGTCACCCGAATATATTATTATCATGTAGAATGTAGAAAAGAATCGCGAACGGACCAGATCACCCCTTGGGGTATATATCGCGTGACAAGAGGGCGCTCATCGTAAATCCACTGTTTTGTTGCGTCATTTCAGTGATTTATAAGCAAACGTTCATTTTAGGGTAGCAGGGGTAGCAGGGGTAGAGGGTTGCAGTAGGCGCGTTATTTTAGGGTCGTCTCGGGAGCGAATCGAATGGGACATCGAGCACGAGTCTTAACTGAGAATTTGAATCTGCATTTGTGGTAAACATTGATGTCCAATGAAATTAGGGTAGAGCGGGGCTAGTTGAGCATAGGGGCAAGTTGAGCAATTGAAATATCTCGAAAACTATTCACCGTTCGTTTAGGCATTATATGACGGAAAGATAGAGGTTTGGAAGAAATAAACATCCCGCGATCGCTAGTGGCCGCTGGACAAATGAGTGAGGCTCACGGACGTTTTGTTTATTTTGAGACCAAAAAGTAAAAACGTAATTTATCACGAGTTTTCGTCTGATTTAGTCAAATGTTATTTATTTTTAATCAGGTAAATGTTATTCTTTCATATAATTATAGTACTTTTAAGATGCACAGAGATTCTGCGTATAATTCTCATGGTTTTTTTATAAACTCACTTTTATTTTGAAATTCCGAGTTGGGGTTAGTTGAGCATAGTTGCTAAATTTGTACTGTCACTAAGACAATTACCATTAACTTAAGATTTAAGCTAAGTCTATGAGTAATAATATAAAGAAATAATGATTTTAAACAAAAATACTGAATATAATGGTAAAATAATTCCTAAGATACGATATTGTTTTGTTGATTCTACTTTTCGTTAATTATTCAAAGTAAATTACTATAAGTTTTGTTTTCTCTGTCAATAAAGACTATAAATATAGACCTGGTTATTAAAAACTTATTTTATTTTATCACTAATCGACATTGAACCTATGATTTCATTGTACTTTCTTAGTGCTCAACTTGCCCCACCTATGGGGTACATTGAGCATACTTGACTTTTTGCATTTAAACAGCTGTAGCTTTTAAATTTTACTTATTACCGAAAAATAGTATTAACACTTTTGTTAAGCGATAAACAACAAATCCATTAAGCCGTATAGCAATTTATTGAGACTTTTCATTGAGGAGCTACATCCGTTTAAGTAAAAATTTGCTCAACTAGCCCCGCCCTACCCTACTTCAATAGTAAGTATTACATTTTACAAGCACGTCAAATTTTACAACCACAACAACCAAAAATAGTCTCATTTTTACCAAGGCTATAAGTTGCACTTGAAAACTCTTTATTTCCAAGAAATTTGAGTTTTTTTATCTTCCCGGTTCAGAAAGATCCTGTTATCTAACATCGTTTTTTGACATTTGTGCGGTTTTTAGCTTAAGTTTTCTATCTAACAACCAGAGAAATACGCCTAACTGCACAGCAACCATATAGTTTTTATTAATATTTAGTTTAGATTTAGAAAGTTCTTCATACCATGGCCTTGTCATAACATTTTTCTGTTAAGCGGCAGAATCAGTTCCTTAATTTTATGTTTTCATAAAAAAATCCGATTCGCTAATTTTATGTTTTCTCGGCGTTTCAAGCCATTCTGAATCGAAAGAGACCTAATTTGAAAAAAGTATGTGTGTGTATGTACGTGAACAGGACATTAAAATTGACGTTTTCTCAAAAACGGCTGGACCCATTTCAAAAATTTAAAAGCCATTCGATATATCTCGATGAGGACTATCGTTTGTCATTTTGTGCGATGATCGGCTGAGCCGTTTCTTATGTAAATAGCAGAAAAGTGAAAAAGTTTTCGTCCGTTTTAGCTTTCAATTCTGAATCGATTTTAAAAATTCAAAAACAGTTCTAAAGATATTAATTGGGAATTGTGCTGACTAGTTTTTAGTAAAGATCGGCCGTTTTCTTGTAATTAAAAAAAATTACGATGATTTTTATGATTTTTTTTGACAATAGATACCATAGTCTTATAGTTATATAGTTATATATATATACTGAAATATTACGTTCCTACGACAAGTAGTTTAATTTAAAAAAAATCGTCAATGTTTGCAAAAATTAGTATCATGGTTTGGTCTTTGTCAAAATTAGAACTTTCATCGATATTTGCTCAGAAACACCTAAACCGATTTCAAAAATTTAAAAGCCAATCGATGTATTTCGATGTGAATTATCTTTTTTCAGTTTGGTTCGACGATCGGCTAGCCGTTTCTTTATAATTCGAAAAAAAGTGTCAAATTTTCGTCCACATTTAAGCTCATACTACCGAATCGATTTAAAAAAATCAAAAACTGTTCAAAATATATTAGTTGGGAATGATACTGATTAGTTTTAGGTAAAAGTCTACCAGGCCGTTTTCTTGAAGTTAACTGTTGAAAAAAAATTTGCCGATTTTTATGAAACGTCTTTTTGGCAATTGATACCACGGTCTTACCAAACATGCTAAAATGTCACGGCCATACGACAATTAGTTTAATTTTAAAAATTCATTAAAGTGTGAGAAAATATAGTCAAAATTTGTATAAAAGTAGGTTTTGTGATGTGATGAGTCAAAGATTATCAATTCATTAAAATTTAAAATAAGCTATGATTTTAGGGCATACAAGCACCAATAGTGTCTGTGCAATATAATTAATATAATTACAGTTAATTTAAATTCTATTCGAAATTGCAATGTTTAGATTTAACTGAAAGCGATAACTTTATTTTTGAAATAAACAGTTGAAAATTTTATCTAAATATCTAAATTTAAATTGATTAAGTCAATTTTTACACATTTTGGGAAGTTCATGCAATTTGCCTTAAGGCTAAATGCCACTAGCTCTAATTTAATTCAGGACATTTACGGTCAATACTATCACCTTGTTATGGCTTGACGTTAAATTCTGGGATACTGTATATATAGGGCAGGGCGGCCACAATTTCTATCATAAATAACTTTTCTAAATATTATTTCTAAAATTATCTTTGCCTGTATTTATTATTTGTCATGTATGTTTGTCGTTATAAATACAAAGCTCGACATCGTGAAGCTTTTCTTGTCTTTGGGTTACCAATATATCATAAACATATGTATGAGAGAAGAATAACTTTGGTGGCGAGACTTGTTCGAGATGATTAATTTTGAAGCATGCTTCTCTTGAGACAATAGATAACACAATAAAAGTGTTATCATATACTATATATGTATTCGAATCACACGAGACAAGAATAATTCAAGAAACATCACAGAAATCATGAATATGTAGAAGAAAAATAAAATTTGGTACATCATAATTTGAAACAAATTTATCAAAGAAAATTCTAAATTAAAAACGTAAACATTTTTTTTAATTATGTTTGTGCATATTCTTGCCTTGATCAAGTTTGAAAAGGTGGAATTGCTAATTGAAATTTTCTAATTGTGTTGATTGTGTATAGAATAATCAGTTGGATTCAGCAATATATATATATATATATATATATATATATATACAGGGCCGGTCCTGGGGTCCTCGGCGCCCGCATGCAAAATTTGTTCTTGCGCCCCCCCCAATAATTTTAACTGTTTTAACAGTTTATCATTAAAAGTATATAAATATTTACGTACATTTTTTCAATTAATTTTTAATCGTAAGAAAAAATTAGATATAATTTAAAAGCGTATAAAATACATGGATTTTAAATTTATTTAGAAAATCGAGGCAATTCGCGGGTTGATCGTAATCAAACATTTTTAAATTTTCAAGTATTTCTAACATATGTGTAATATTAATGATTGGGTTTTGAACTAACATTTGAACATTTTACTTATTTATAATGCGATTTATTCTGTTAAGCAAATCGAGCAAAAAAACTAGCGTTTCATTTTTACCATAACTCTCGTATTTCACGTAGGATTTTTTAAATTTTATTTTTACAATATTAAAAAGTGCATCGTAAACTTCTCCTTATTGATATCGTAGAGGTCGAATTGATTCATCATTTGATTCAGAGTATCAGATTGTTGTTTTAAAGTTAAATTTTTAACGTATTTTAAAAGTATTGTTCAAAGATCAGTAAAAAACTGATTGTTTTTGTATCTGTATTATTTTTGCATAGTTAATAATTCAATTTAGAGTATGGGCACCACTAGGTATAGAAAACGCTCAACAATTTTTGTTCCAAAGTCATTTTTGGATTTTTTTCATAACACTAACCACGCATGTCTTCAACGTTCAAAGTTGCGAAACATTTGAAACAGAAACAAAAGTTACAATTCAATTTCTCGGAATAAACAATCCATTTTCTAAGCACTGACTCCCCATTTTCCGTTTTTTCTATTATAATTAGTATATATTTCTTTAATAAGTACCGTTTCAAATAATTTTTTTTTCGATTTCACGTTAACTTCAAACGAAGAAAAAATGTAATGAGTACATTAAACAATAAGCAGAACAATAATGTACTAACTTATAGAGTTAATAATCGGTTAATTGTTTCTACTGTATCACATTGCAAACTGAATATGCTTCTTGTGTCTCCGTATCCATAGTTAAGTTAGATTGTTTATTATAAACAATTTAAAAAAAATATTAAAAAAATAATAATATATTATAAATTTCATTTCCGAATCTTACTTTGGCGCCCCCTAAGGCGTGCGCCCGCATTTTTTGCATGCATCGCATGGAAGGCAGGACCGGCCCTGTATATATATATATATATATATATATATATATATATATATATATGTTACCAAATGGTGAGGAATTTGCAAAAACATAATGCAAACATCCCTTATATCGTCAATCATGTATTTCTAATGCCTGAATGGGTGTTGACATCCATTTGGCAATGTCACATGCTAAGTATTTTGTGTCAAAATGCATAAATCAAATTTTGTGCAAAAACATCAAGCGTTACGAAAATTCGTAAAGCTTCAATCAAATATCAAATTAATCAAATATAGTTTTATTTTTTAACAAATTAAACCTAGTTGTAAGTGGCACCTTGTCTTAGGACAATGGTTCTGATTCTATGTAGTTTGATATAATTTCCAATTGCATATTTTGAAACTAAACTCTCGTTTTACTAAAATATAATCCAATTAATATTTTTCAAACAAACTTTTAGTATCTCTAATTATAAAATAATTACAAATAAAATGTACGAATACATTCAATTTGACGTAGGTCTATATACATATTATAAATAGTTGTAGAATTAAATATTAATTTATTTGTTATTTTATTAAGTATAAATAAAAGCATTTTAGCATGTACTTGATTAAATAGTTCTGCTAATATCAACAAATTTCATAAAAAAAACTTTTTGATATACAAATTTTATAAAAATTCAACTCGCCAATTTTTTATATTCAAAATTATATTTCTATCTTAAGAATATGCATATGCGATGTATTAGTTATTTTATTAATTTATTAACCCTATATATTATTTTTCAATGAATTATATATATTTTTAATGAAATATAATTGGATCACTATATTTTAGAATTTGGTCTTGCAACTACAAAATTCAAATAAAATTCCGATCACAACTAGCAATAGAGCAGTAGCAAGATCCATTTTTACTAGAAAAAACATATCTAAATACACTTTCAAGTCAAAATAACTTTTTTGGGAACCAAAAATGTGGTCACAATTATAATTAAATATCACATGGTGTTGGAAAGTATATCTCAACAGCTTATTGAATACCTAGTTAGTGTCTCTTCTTAATTTTATTTCTGACTATAGTTCTAAAGTTCGTTTATATTTTTTAAATAAATAATTTTAACTTTGCAATTTAGTTTATATAATTCTTATAAATATTAGACAATGTTACTCTATTTATAATAATCTATTTGAAAACATTTAATATTCCTCGAACATTTCGTTACGGTACGGAAAGTTCCAGCAATTTCCCTTAAGGCACAATGCCATATTTAACAAAGTCGTTTTTAATTTAGTTACAAATTGAAGTGTTTGAACTGAAATATTAATTACAATACATAAGTGTATTTCAAATTTCACATATGTTACTTTAAGACCGAAAAGTGTCTGACGCCCTAATATTTCGGATATAAGTTGGACTTGTTTCAGACATAGCGGGCGTTAGTCGAATAAAATAAATAATTTGACATTCATATAATGGAAATTGATTGTAGCGAAAAAAGCAATTATATAAATACAAAAGCATAAGAAAGGCAAAAAAATTAATATTTTAATAATTGGATGAATTTTTTGCCATCTAAGGCAAAAATATTAGCCGTTCGATCGCTTGTAAATTTTTACAATCCAACATTTATTGGTAATTTTTTCTAATCATTGTTTTATTGACATTTATTTATTGGTAAATTAGTTGACAATTTATAGAAAAAGAGTTACCCTGATATTTCAATAGACTTATTTTCTCAATTTTGGCCTACAATTTGAGATTTGTATGCATATTCATGAAAACTTTGATCCTTTAAAAATCTGATGAAGGTGCTGTGGAATTGATGATCACTCAATTATTTTAACCTGGCAGTAGATTGAAAAATTGTACTCCTAGACTAGTAATTCCCAAGTGGGGCGCACCCCCCACAGAAAAATCCATTTTTAAATTCAGAGGGGGGAGGCAAATTAAAAAATTACACGACTTTAACCCACTTGCTTTGGGTGATTTGAATGTAATTTGTAAATACTGTTAAAAATTCGTTAAATATATTATGATCATTTTTTAGTTTAGGTGAGCACAGGATGCATGTGCAAATCATATAATTTTTCCATAGCTTAGGTAATACGGATCCCTTTTTAGGTCTAATGCAAACTTTCTCAATATTACGGATTATAGAAAAATTCCAAATTATGTATGTATTAGTCTGTATATTTATAAATTGCCATCCCTTCCAGGCAGCGGTATAATAATTTTTCGATTATATTTTTAAATTCGGAATTTTTAGTATTTATTAAGTTGCGAGACTAAGAACATCTTAAGAAATTCAGCTCGCACAAGTTACTCAAACATTTAATAAAATTTATAGTTCTATGTCTATTGTCGCACAGTGCACACAATCGTTTAAGAGTGCAGTAATTAATTTTCTATGAAGAGATAACGGCAAAGGCAGCTGTAAGGTGTAAAGTATATTTTGGATATTTTAGATATTTAATACAGAGATAAAAATTCTTATAGAAAAAATAATATTATAAATTAAATCTTATATACATTCGCATTTTTTATACGCTAACACCTACATCATAGGTTCCCTATTCGTGTATTTTATAGCCTTACGTATGCCTATACGTTGCATTCTATACTACACGCCTTACATCTATACCATACGCTATATTTCATCATATACTCTCAAATCCCTAATCCGTATACCGAATACACCTAACCTATATCTACTATATATCCTATTACCTACAATTTTTCTTACACGCTATTTGTACCCTTACCGAGAATCGAACCCGGGTCCGCCGTGTGACACGCTACGACCTTAACCACTACACCACCGTAAGGCTACAATCAACCGTCTTTTTTCGCGTGTCGTCGCGCCACCTTAGTATTAATTATCTAATTAATTAGAAAATGACCCGCGGTAACAACAGTGCGTCCCATATTATATTATTAATGAGGGTACCGATAATGAGGGTAGTGGTTAAGGTGCGCGACTTCCACGCGGAGGTCCCGGGTTCAATTCCCGTATAGACAATAGATAGGTAGAGATAATACATAGGGCGTAAGGTAACCTATATAATATAGGTGAATATATAAATTAGACAGTATATTTTTAAGAAGTAAAAGATATGTAGGTATATAATAAGTT